ATGTGTATAAATTTAACAGACGCCATGTTTCTTTCCCGCCCACATTGAACTTATCTAAAAAAAAAAAAAAAAAAAATAAGGCGTTGGCCACGTAATTTACAGTTATACGAAAAAAAAATATGAACGCAACGATAAAAAAAATAACCGTCGAGCTTATGTTTAACATATGTTCGAATGACGTACGTTTGAAATAGCTTTGTTACTTCTATCAAGCGATGTGTCAAAGCGGCTAGTTCAAAAAAATGGCGATCACAGTGCGCCAAATCGATGACGTATATTCGATATGTCATCGAGGATTCCCTCGCACGCGGAAACTGGTTTACACGATGCAACGATTACCGAGCGAGATGCTAGGAATCCGAAACTCGCAGCTTCTTCGAGAGTCAACGTACCTCCCCTCTTTTTAACCGAGGAACGTTCAGGTTCACTCCTTCGCTTCGAAGACCACGCAATCAGACAGTTTTTTTGAGGTTCGCATGAAACAGGTATTCGGAGCGGTTACTGGAAGGTAGCGCGCATTGCCAAGACGCCGACACAAATTGGAATTACCGTCATGTGTACGAGAATAACCGAACCACGAAGAAATTTAACGTCGAAACGTGGATTACGTGTCTTCGTCACTCGAGATTTTTGCGTTTCACACGCGTCTACGACGAAATGCGTCTTTACACGTCTCGATACCGAACAGTACTTACGCGGGAACGCTTTAAAGAAGATAGAGATTCTCCGTCAGGTGCCGTTCGCACGAGATAGAACCGTTACCGCCAGCAGGCTACCACGATTTTCGAAATTTCTTATGCTGACATTGTGTCTGCCAGCGATAAATTTTTCCAGGAACATTTGTAACTTCGCGTGACTCGTAAACAACATTCCGTGTGCGAGAACGCTCGACGACCTTCTTCAAACAGTTTTTGTCGAAATGAATAGGGATACTCACAATATACAGGCAAGCGTCGCTCCTACCGGCGATAATCCACGTGCTAAGGACACACTGGACAACACAACGTACACACAGACAAAAACACTCGCGGGAATGAACTACGAACGACGGAAAGAGAATCGTCATGTATCACTAGTGCGTTTACGAAGAATGCGCGAAACACGTTGTCCCGATACACTCCGCAAAACAAAAAGCACGACGGAAAAAAAGATGGAAAAACCGCGAACCGTAGAAAAGAACGTTCGCTCGTGACCGTCTCGCGTGGCCGGCTGTGACTCTACTCCGGCTCGCTTTGGCTTCGGCGCGACACTCCGACCCCCACTACGCGCGTTCCCCCACCACTCTTACTTCTACTTCCAGTTTATACTTCCGATTCCCTCGGTAATGTTCGGTTAATTTCGACACGATCGGCGGACCCAAGGGTTAAACGTAATGAAAAGGATTAGCGTTTACGATTTTGTTCTCATTATACTAAATTTGTAATTAATAGAATAATGATTGCCAACTAAAGAACGACTTGAATTTCAAAACACTCGAATTTTTTAACATAACCGAATATGATTTGTTTGTTATTTATTTGCGTTGATATTTTGTATAAATTTGCGAATAGTATGGTATTGAATTTATGAAAAATACCATCGAACAGAAAATGAAGAAAAGTAAAAAATTGAAATATTTTATTTAAAAAATTACATTTATCATATTTTTTTATTTTTGTTGTCACCATTTTCTGTAGGCGTATCTTTTTTCAATTCGTAAATCTGGAAAAAGATAAGAAATTAAGAAATACCTGTCTGTAAATATTTACATGGCAATTATCTGTATTGAGAATACATACTTGAATATATGCTTCGGTTAATGTTATCATTTGAGGTAAGATTTGAGTTACATGTAAATCTTGTAACTCATACCATTGACCTGTTGCTCTATGTAAAATGTGTACTCTGTAAGTTCCCTGTCCAGGCTCACCATCGTGAACTATATTTGCAACTAAATCATATGTTGTATATGGATGTCTTAGTTTTACTTCAGGTGTCAAAATATCTCCAAAATCTACATTTCTAAAAATAACATATATATGAAAATTGCAAGTTAGTACTTTGATTTTATTTAATAAAATGTTGCAAATTGACTTACTTAACTGGGAAATTAACTATGGTAGGATTTTTTTCTACAAAGAATGTGTTCTTTGTAAACCTCTGTAGAAAAAAGTTAAAATGAGCACTTTTAACGATTCCAATCTAAAAGGACTATAATAAATTCTAATACTTACTTTTATATAAAGTATGAGATAAGGAGGCAGTTCTGTTATTTCAAATCTTTTCATGAAATTCTCCTTATAAGTTTTGTATTCTTTTTCCGTTACGGCATTAAATTTATTTAATAAAGTATATAAATTGACCTATTAAAAATGTGTGTTCTATTATACTTATGATGATTAAAATTTATTACTAAGAACTTACTTGTGGAATAATATTTTCGGTAAATTGATCTTTAAAAAGAGGTGGTGGTGGAAGATCACATGTTAAATATAAAAATGGACTTTCTGTTACAGTTTCACCATATTCTACAGTATGAAGTAATTCGCTTCTTTGACTTTCTTCTAATTCAAGTGGTGGTATTTTTCGCGTGTATATACGCATATGACCCAAGAATGTTTTGTATACTATACTAGAATCACGTTTTTTTGTACCATTCAATGCTAAATGAAGGGCATTTAAAAACCAGGAAAGAAAATCAATTGGATCACCTAAAAGTTTTATTTTTATAAATAGAAGCTGTTAATAAAAAATTAAAATATTGTTGCAACAATATAACGTAGTATGTACCCTGTTCTGTAAACTGAAATCTTTTTTTGCTCCACAAAACAACAGCTTGTAACATTTCATGCGGACTAACATGAGCTTTAAAATTACGTGGATTCCACAATTTTCTCATCAATTCACCAAAACGTTGAACTAAAAGATAAGAAGAATCTCCAGGTGGTCTTTTCACATGAGAATAATTAGATTCTCTTAAGAAAAAATCTCTTAATGGTGTGACATGAGAAAGTGCCTAAAATACCTAATTATTATGTTTCTATCAACAATAAATGGATGAATGTAAATGCTTTCTAAGTGACTCACTTGTAAAATAACATTGCAGTAATCATTTGCTTTAATATTATTCATTCCCACTATTCCTGGGGAATAAAATGAACCATCTATGGCTCTAGATAACTTATCACTTTTATCTAGTTGGGAAATTTGTGCTTTATCAAATGTTGGATTTAAAACATATTTTATATCATCCAATGATGAATCTGAATAAACATTGTTTATTATGAAATGCTAATAACTTGTTGAATAAAAGTAAAATAGAAGAAAAAGAATAATGGCTTACCAATTATTTCATAATTATCAGGTAAACAATAAAATTTTAAAGTATGAAGATTAAGAAAAACATGATGACTTTCAGCCACACTATGTGTGTATGCATGAGTGTTAGTACCTCTACCTTGAAAATACTTTCCACATACCAAACAAGCATACACGTTAATTCTAGATAAAGATACTGAACACAGTTTTTCAAAATCAAAATCTAAAAATTGGCGATTTATTGTATCTAAATAAGGACACAGTCGTGGAGCTTCTGGATTTGTTTTAATAAATTTAGCATGTTCTGTAATGAAATAAAATAGTTATTTTAACCTTAGGATTTTAACCTAAGGTTAGGAAATTTAATTGAAAATAAAACAAATAGCTCGCAAACCTCAGATTTAGTTAACTTAAAGTCAAGCTTATAGATACCAAAAAAGTGTATAAATATATTTTAAATAATAAATTTAATCGTACCGAATAAAATAATTACACCTAACCTCAAAATTCTAGCATGTAAACAACGAGTTTCTAGTGCTTCTAAGTTCATTTTATAATCAGTTTTTAAATAAACAATAATTAATTCATATAATTACAAATACTCACTATCCGTTTCTTCTTCTGAATCACTTTCTTTTTTCATTAATTTTCGTTTTTTACGATTATCCTGTTTATTCGTCGCCATTTTTGTTAGCTGTTTAGCATATCGTTCTTACATAGCGGTGCACTTATATTTACTTGTATAAAAAATAATATTAATAAATGTATACCATAATCACACACATACTTGACATAAGATATAATTAAAAACTAAAATGATATTGGATGGACAGTTTCGTTTCACTTCATTGCGTTTAAACATAAATGCTAATAAAAGTGTAGATTTTTATGATTAGCTACATATATTAACGCTATTTTTTTATACTTTTCGTTAAAGGGGACCTTAATATTCAATATAACATTGTAAGACATTTATTACGTTCTTCTAAAATGCTGTTAATTGGTGAAATTTATTTTATTAAATTCATGGAAATACATGTTATTTTGAATATAGGTTCCAACTTCGTACAATATATTGTATGGTTTTAATAATGTTAATAAAAAAATGGAAATTTAAAAAACATGTACAATTTATTTAATTAACATCACAATTTTCACATCTATCCACATAACAATTTCCTCAAAATGTCAAATTCGCAAAAGCATTACTGGTTGCAATTCCCTTCTATATTTAATCATTATTAGAAAATATTACAAGTCAAACAAATTTATTATATTAAATATCTATCATTTGAAAACATAGTTGCAAATATTTTGCGATCTTCGATATCTCGCTAGTCGACAAAAAGAATGTTTAGCGCGCCACCTACGAAACAGATTCTTTTTAGATGAAAAGAGAGAAGCGCAAGCTATTCCCCTGTTACGGGTGCCACGACTGATCGTAAGAGACTTCCCGATGGTGTGAACGTAGACTCACTTGACAAATATCTTCGGATAATGCATATCCATAAAGTAAAAAAATTTTGAACTAAAGAATTGTAGGAGGCAAATTGGGAAATGTCGTAATGCGTGGCAAAAGTTTCTTAAATCACGTAAAAGACCTTTCCCGTTGGATTTATTGAAGTAAAATCGTTGGGATCGGTCCTTCGGACGGATTCATCCGTTTAGTCTGGCAACAAGACGATCTTCTCCGTTCTGTTGATATGGCCGTCGTTGAGGAATTTGATTATTTATGCCGTTTATGTGCGACTAAAACGGGAATTTTAATGGGATTACCGATCTTCGAAGCCGGCAATCAAATGCGGAACATTGACAAGAAAATAGCCGCGTGTTTGCCAGTGCAGGTAAATCATGCACAAACGGTGGAGGTCTAATTTCACTGCAATCTTCAGTGGTCTTGTCTTCACCCCCTCTTTCTAATTTAACTATAAATAGAGGAAGAAAATTGGTGCAAGGTTTCACGCTCTTTTTGTAACAAGAAACAGGCTGTATATTAACATTAATTATGTATAATTAATAAAAAAAACTGAAGATTGTGCTGTCAGTTGATAAACTATTTGGAAAACTTTTAGTGTTATCAATTGATTGATTATTTTTAGGTGTCTATGACTGATCAATTACCAAAAGTGGTGTGCGAAGAGTGTGCTTATAAATTGGACCAGTTGTTTGACTTTCGTGAAAAGTGTTTACATACTGAAGGGATGTTCATGGAAATGTTAAAAGAAATTGCTAAGGAAGAAGTTGTTCGTATATCGAAGCAGGACTTAGAAGAAGTAGAAGAAATGAATAGGATTCAAAGGAATATTAATAGAATACAAAATAATATCGAAGATGTACAAAATCATGTGACTCCCCAAGAAACAGGAGAGACCACTATACATACTATGCAAGTTATGGATGAAATGGATTTGGCAGATGGTGAACAGGTTGTTACGCAAGAAGAAATGGGACAACAAGATGATATTGAGGTTACTGGTATCGACTGTTTAGATGGTGATACTGTCAGAATGGTGGATGAACATATACGAGAAGTAAATGAATAGATAAACCTTCTTTTTGGCTCTAAATCCCTTGTTAAAACAAAATTGTACCATATTTATTACCATAATATTCTTCATATTTATTATTCTTAGTATGTATGTTATTTTAAAAGTAACTTACATATATCTTATTACAGGTTTCGAATCATCAAATAGCAATGCATCTAGAAGGAGACATGGCTGTAGTTGGAAATTTAACAGTCAGTGGTCACTTGAGTCAGTTAGGAATAAATTATGTAACTTCAATAAATCCTGATGATCAGAATCGAGAACAAATAGTACATTATTGTGACAATGTAAAGTATGAATCTGTACCAATAAAACAAGAATATCATAGGTTGCAGGATAGATTAGCTACAGAAGATCCTACAAATGTACTTGAAAATAATGTAAGTCATTAAGTTGAAATGGAATGTAAGGTCAATTTCAGTGGAAAGTAGTAACTAGTGTAATTTTTTTAAATAAATAACCTCAATGTACAGGTATCACACGAGAATTTTCCTTCTGCTCAACCAGAAACTGGCAGTGATATAGAGGAAACACATATAGTTGAAAATGAAACTAGGCATACAACTCCTCAAACAAATACTATGGCATCAACAAGTCAAGTAACAGCTGGAAATTCAGATATTTTAGTAGAATATACAAAAGGAGCTAAGCACACACTATTAGAAACAACACTAAATAATCCAACAATTGATGAAACAGGATCACACTGGTATGTGTGTCCATTTTGTAATGAAGCAATATTAGGTTCAACTAATATGATAGCTCATTTTGAACAATACTTTTGTTGCTGCCCTTGTGGTTTATATTTTACAAGTATAGATGCATTAAATGTACATAAGGAAAGATGTGATGTACATAAAAATAAAATAATCAGCAAAGAAAAAGATATTGTAGAATCCGAATTAGCGCCTTCTCAAACTGACGGAAATATAGACGAAAAAAAACAAACAACAGTAAGGCAAAAATGGACACCGAAAGTTTGTGCTCACTGTGGAAAACAATACAGAACGAATTATAAATTGCAAGAACACATGCGAAAACATACCGGGGAGAAACCTTTTCAGTGTGTGACATGTGAAAAAGCGTTTCGTAGTAAAATAGGACTCGCACAACACACAGCCACTCATACCGGACAATTTGATTACAATTGTTCGACGTGTGGTAAAGGTTTTCAATCTAAGAGTTATCTCGTCCTTCACCAAAGAGTACATTCAGATCTGAAGCCATTTCCATGTAACACTTGTGGACAACATTTCAAAACAAAACAATCTTTGCTAGACCATCAAAACAGGCACCTTGGAGTTAAACCATATGTCTGTGAAATTTGTGGTAGAGGTTTCATAACTAAAGGACTTTGTAAAAGTCATCAAAAAATACATTCGGGCATGGATAATCGTCAGTATCCGTGCGTGGTATGCAATAAAATGTTTGTTAGTAAAAGTTATCTCAATACGCACCTACGTATTCATACTGGTGAAAAGCCGTATTTGTGTGAAGTTTGTGGTAAAGGATTTTTAACACGAGTTGATCTCAAAATTCATTCAACAATGCACACTGGAGAGAAAAGCTTTAAATGTGATATGTGTGGAAAAGTATTCGCCAGAAGAGCAGCATTAAGGTGTCATAGAAGGTTGCACACAGGAGAACGGCCTTACAGATGTGATGTGTGCGGTAAAACATTTACACAATTCACTCCTATGGCCATTCACAAAAGATTACATACTGGAGAACGACCGTACGAATGTGACGCGTGCGGCAAAACATTCGTATCGAGATCAACCATGATGTGTCATAAAAAAAAACACCATGGTACACCAACTGTCCAAAAAGACGATCCAGTTCCTCGACAAAATGAAATAAAAAATGTTTTACCAGCCGAAATTGTACTTCGAGATTCCCAAGAGGGAATACAAATTACCGCAGATTGAAGCGTATGATCAAAAATTTAAAAAATTTCAGAATAAACACAGACAACGCATGATAGAAAATAAAATATCGAGTCTGCATTTTATAAGAAGCGGCATTAGTCACCACGATGTATTCCTTTACTGTAGCATATATGTTAAAATTGTATACAAAGAATATATTTTCGAGAATTCTTTGCAAGGGGTAATGATGTTTTCTATAGTCATTCATACATAATAGAAAGTAAAGTAAAATTAAACAATCATTTACATTATCGTTTTTATTCTATGTCGGTATACGTATTTTACCGAACTATGTTGTTATTTTTAAACTGTTTCCTTTTTTTTTATTGACAATCTGTATTGCTCCAGAATATTTCGATAACTATCAGTTGCTGTTAATTGAGTCATAAAATACAGTCAACTTTAAGTTATAAAAATAATAAATATGTCATATGCAAATTTTTTCAGTCTATATATTTACATGATAGGAACTGGTTTCTAACTTGTAATAATAAATTTTCTCAACGACATGTAATAAAATGGTTATACAATGTTTTTAACATATTTTAAAGATTTAGGATGGATATTATATATTAGTTTCTTAAAATTATGATCACATAATATTTATGTTCATTTTAATAAACAGCTCAAATTATTCAGCATATATTTGAATTTACGAAATAAAATTGTGATGAATCAATTTATAATTTATTTTGTAGCGTATTTCTCAGAAAATACAACGCGTATTGTTAAAATAACGCTTGTTATTTATTTAGAAACATATTGAAATATGTTGGAACAATGAAATATTCTTTTTATTAATCATACGAAAATTTACACTTTGTATTCTATGTGCATTAAAAATTGTTATAAACGCCATGAAAAAACGACAAAATGCAACATTTATTAGCTATATAATACAAAACATGATTATCATAAGAAAAGTGAAATATTTTCTTATTAACGTTAGCAAAACATTAAAATATTATTTATCAAATGAAAGGCTGATATCTACTTTTACTGCAAGGAAATGCTATGGAATGGTGGTTATATCTTATTAACGATATAATTTTTTAAATTTAACAGAAGAGTAAAAGTTACATATAATCACCTTTAACACAGTGTATATTTCTGTGGCATCTCAGCGGTTCTCTTTCAAATAAAACAGCTTTCAGCACTACACACAGTAGAAATTGTGATATATAATTATAATAAAATGAGTACATTATTTGTAAAATTGTGATGATTGTAATATTATTATTGACAAACCCTC